AAGCCAATGAACTCCAGACTGATGCTCCTTGCCAGATGACCACCAAAAATGAGCACATAACTGTGCTATTTCCTTGCATACAACAGCAGGTAGACAGAAACAAGACATCACAAATATTGGCAAAGCTGAGAGCACAGATTTCAGTAAAATCTCCTTGCCAGCAAAGGATAAGAACCTGTTTTTCCAGCTAACAATTTTCTTCTTCACAGCCACAGTAACATATTCAAAAACTTCTCTTTTATTTTTACCAATGCCCAAAGGTAGACCAAGGTATCTAGATGAGTGACAGACTTCAATTACTTGTAGGCATTGACAAATTTCAGCTTTGAGCCCCACAGAAGCATTCTTACTGAAGAAAACTGAAGATTTAGATAGATTAACTTTCTGCCCTGTAAATCTTTGATAAGAAGCTAGCACTCTGAGCAGATTAAAAGCATTATGTAAATCAGCAGCACAAAAGAGTAGAGTATCATCTGCAAACATTAGATGAGACAGAACAGTCCCACCCTTCACAATTTTCAACCCCTGCATATCTCCACTCCTAACAGCATATCCAATCATTTTGGTAAAAATTTCAGAAACCAGCAAGAACAAATAAGGAGATAGAGGATCTCCTTGTCTGAGACCTCGAGAAGGTACCACAAACCCAGTCACCTTTCCATTAATATTCAGAGAGAAAACTGAAGAAGATATACAAGCAAAGATCCATCTCACAAACACAGGGCTGAAACCCATCTTCTTCATCAATTTAATCAAACAGTTCCACTCAACACAGTCATAAGCCTTCATCATATCTAGTTTCACAACCATAAAACTCTTCTTCCCCTGCCTATGTCTATTAAGGTAGTGGATGACTTCATGAGCAACTACCACATTGTCCAATAGTTGTCTTTCAGGAATAAAAGCTGACTGTGTTTCACTCACACATAAGTTAAGACATTCTTTCATTCTAGCAGCTAAAACCTTAGCAATGATCTTGTATGAAACTGAGCACAGACTTATGGGTCTATAATGGTTTACTGATTCAGGATTTTCACATTTAGGGATTAAAGTTATAACAGTATGATTCCAGCTCCTCATCATCCTACCAGTATGAAAGAAATTTAAGATAGCAGCGCAGAGATCACCTTTAATGAGTGGCCAGAAATGCTGGAAGAATAGAGGAGTCATGCCATCTTCACCAGGTGCCTTATTAGGATTCATAGCAAATAAAGCATCCTTAATCTCAGCTTCATCAACAGCTGCAATCAGTCTTGAGTTCACTTCTTCAGAAATAACAGGAGAAATAAGTTGTAGAATGTCATCCTCATCCTCAGAACCACCAGATGTAAATAGAGACTGATAAAAATCAATGAAGCAAGCCTCAATCTGCTCCTGAGTATCTGCAACTCTATTCATGTTATCCACCACTCTGGAAATTGCATTCTTCTTCCTCCTTTGCATAGTGACAGCATGAAAGAACCGAGTGTTCTTATCCCCACCCTTCAGCCATTGTATCCTTGCTTTTTGTCTCCAGAATTCCTCTTCAGCTACATGAGACTCATCAAGCTCTTTTTTAATCTTTTTCCATTCCTCCCAGTTTCTCTGACCTCCAAGAGCTCTCATTTCCTCCAACTTGAGTGTACAATCGGCAATCTTCCTCTCATTCACAGACTTAGTCCTTTTATTCCACTTAGTAAGAGCCATTCTGGTCTGTTTAATCTTCTCTTTCAGCTTATGCATTAAAGACCCATCCACTGGACTAGTCCAAGCCTTCTCAACCTCTTCTTTGCATCCAGGTTTCTCCAGCCATCTTTTGTCAAAACAAAACCTCTTGAAAAAATGAGACTGAGCAGTGCCATTATCCAATATAAGCATAGAATGATCAGATGCACTTTTGAAGTATGTCTGAACCTTAGCTCTGTTATTATCCACCATCCAGGAGTAGGAACCAAATACCCTGTCAAGCTTTTCTTCTATAAAGTCCTCCCCTCTTCTATTATTACTCCAAGTATACTGATAACCCTCCATCCTCACCTCCAACATACCCATTCTGGCAATGAAACTGTTGAAATCTTGAGAGCTGCTCTGGTACCTCATTCTGCCTCCTCTTTTCTCAGAATCCCCACAAATAGCATTCCAGTCCCCCCTATGCACCATTTAGAACCCCATGATTTCTGACAGTCTTCCAATTCTAGCCATTGAGATCTCCTCTTCTGATAATCTGTGCTAGCATAAACTAGAATCAGCCACTCACTGCTCCCAGAATCCTCCAGCTTATACTCCACTTGCAGACAGAAGGTAAGGTTAATAATTTGCACAATCTCCACCTTCTTACACCACAGCAATAACAAACCTCCACTCATACCAACTGGCTCCACTGTAAAACTCCTCTCAGCAAATCCAAGTTTCTTGCACACAGTATCAGTAAAGAACTTATTCTTTCTAGTCTCAGATAGGAACACAAAATTTGGGAGGTGGACTCTGATTGAGTCCTTAAGCTGGGAAACTGTAGAGGGTCCTCCCAGACCTCTACAGTTCCACAGAATTGTCTTCATTTATTACCTTGGGGCCATTCAAGGCTGGCTACCACCACCTGAGCATTTTCATCATCAATTCCCTTCCTTGCTTTCTTAGAAACAATGTCCATATTCTCTACTTTCTGTGGGACAACCTGTGAGATGATTGATCTGCCTCTTTTGCCCAACATGATAATCTCCTCCTCAGAGTTAGTATCCATGGCTCTTTGCAATCTGCCTGATTCAGATTTCTTCCTTTTCCAAGTTGAAGATTTCAGCTTCTGCATCTCTTGATAACACAACTGTTCATCTCTCCTCTCTATCACAATCCCCTTGCCTTTAGAGCCCTCTTTAGTTTTGACACTGCCTCTATCCTCCACCCAATCTTGTCCTCCTCCAATTTGGATGTCCTGGTCTTCAGCCTGTCTTATAGGAATGTCAGCTATCTCAGGAACCGAGGATTTGACCACAAGAGCGACGGACATATTATCCTTGGGCAGATGAATCAAAGGAAGTTCTGCACCTGTTTCCTCAGAAGACTTTTCAGCAACAAACTCCTCCTCATGAGCCGTGTTTGATGGGTTCCCAGATTGCCGCAGATTACTATTAGTTTGGGATGGAGTTGAATTTTGAGAAGAACCTCCAGTTTTCCCCGTCTCCGTCGCCTTCAACCATTCACCAAACTGCCCCATTTTCTGAATACCTTCATCAATATCGTTAGCTCGAGCTTTGCACGCCCTCTCTAAATGTCCCACTAATCCACAGTAAAAGCAACAACTGACTAGCTTCTCATACTGGAAAGTAACTCCCAATCTCTGCTCTCCAAGTTTGATATGGGTGCAACGTAGAATGGGTTCTGCAATGTCATGTGACACCAAAATCCTAAGGTAACTTCCATGGACGCCACCTGACTTGACAACAATAACATTCTTAATTTTCTTGAATAACTTCCCAATCTTCCTGCCCACCTCAATGCTTAGCCAGTTTAATGGTAGTTTATGAACCTGCACCCATAAGGATATCTCACCAAACCCTGGATCTGAAGCGATTAATCCCTCTCTCCAATCTTGCAGCACTAGATATTGATTTTCGAATACCCAGTTAACTCCTGCTAGCACCTTCTCCTTGTCCTCCTTACAACCAAAGATGAATTGGAAAAAATTTTCCCCCACTTCCTTAACTTCAAAAGCCATATTGGTTTGCCAGACTATTCCCATTACCCTTTTCAACCCAAATATACTAGCCTTACGATCCCCAATAATCTTTCCCAGCACACTTCTGCGGCATTCCTCATCACTTAATCGAACGTCATTGGTATCCAGCTCCACATCGTTACTCTCCTTCACCGACAGTTCTAACGCCTGGAACTGATCGCCCAATTCCTCAGCCATCGAGAAACCCTAGCTCCGTCCCCACACCGCACAAGAAAAGAGATCAGAAGAACACACAATAGGGTAAAGGTATAGAAACTCTTCCACAAGAGAATCGAAATCTTCAGCAAGATACTAACGTCTCCGGCGAGATAATTTTGCTCTCCGATGAGAGAATTTTGAATAGCATCAAACGAAACTTATTTGAATACATGGAACTTATAGCTAACCAAATAAGTTATAAACTAACTTATTTGTCTACCAAACATAGCCTAATTGACTAATTTACAAATATATTGCACATAGTTTTCACATGATTATCGATTACGTTTAGACCGACTGTGAGTGCACAATCGTAATTATAGACTAAATTTGAGCCGGTTGTGCGTGCACAGCCGAAAGACAATTAGTATATGAAAATAGATAGATATACAATTTTCGGTGGTGTGGGTAGAGGTGGCCAGGTGTCGGGTCCGGGCCCGGCCCGGCCCGCCGGGTCGACGGGCCTCAATTGTTGGGCCCTTAACTGGCCCGACAATTCCTATGGGCCGGTTCATTTGAACTGCCAGGTTAAAAAAATAGAAAAAAAACAACTATGACCCGTTCGAAAATCGGAACTTGCCTAGCCGGCGGGTCAAAAATGGATAAAAGACGGCCCTTAACCGGCCCTTATGAAATTCCGGGCCGGTTCATAACCGCGCCTATACGGACCGTGCCAGGCCGGTTCCAATGCCGGGCCACGGGTCGGGCCGACCCGTGGATCTACCCGCAGCCCGCAGGCACCACTTAAGAGGCGGTCTGGCGCTCGGCTCCCCCGGTTTTCACATCCCTATCTTTGTGTTTGAAACCTAAAAACTCTCATTTTGTCTTTCCTCTTACACTCCGAAACCCGCCGCCGCTGCCACCTCGCGGTAACGCACTCAATAACCTGCCACGCCCCGCTCTTCTCTTGCTCACAGGAACGATCAAGCTTTTCACTAAATTCTTTTTGAGGTGCTTTTCTGATTTTCCTTTGTCCCTTTTTTTTTTTTTTT